TTTCAGACCAGTAAGCAGTTGGCAGCAGCATTCCAAGAGGAGTTCACAGTGCGAGAGGACCTGATGGGACTGGCAATTGGGACTCATGGTGCCAACATCCAGCAGGCCCGAAAAGTGCCTGGGGTGACTGCCATTGAGTTGGGTGAAGAGACCTGTACTTTCCGCATCTATGGAGAGGTCAGCACAAGATATCTGTTACCTAAGTATCTTAGGGGATACAGAGAAAAGAGGGGGAAGTAGAAAGGAAAACCTAAGTTATGTTGCTCTCCCTCCCTGACTTTAGTGGCAGTAATTTTCCCAAAGACAAAAAGTGACAGAAAGATCATTGTTTGAGATCCAAATTCTCTCTTTTAGTAACAACTCCTCATTCCTATTAGACTCCTGAGGCCTGCCGACAGGCCCGAAGTTACCTTGAATTTTCTGAGGACTCTGTGCAAGTGCCCAGGAACCTGGTTGGTGAGTTGGGGGTGTGTGTATCTATAAAAGAGAATGCAGTTGGGGACTAGAAGTGAGATTCTCTAAAGTGATTCTGTGCTTGGCATCTGCCTCATGGGCTTTAGTTTCACAAAGACAGAACAGTCTGTAGTAGGAGTGACAAAAATGGAAGAACAGATTTCTAGGGATTGTAATATTTTGTCTTGTGAAAACCCAACAGGAACCTAAAGCAGGAGAATAATTAAGTAGAATACATATACAGAAGCTGAATACTGTTTATCTTAACTGTTTTTGACTCTTCTTTCTCTCCTTTAAAAACAAAAGGTCTAATTTCTCCTTTACGCATTCAGGCAAAGTGATTGGAAAGAATGGGAAAGTGATCCAGGAGATTGTGGATAAATCTGGTGTGGTGAGGGTTCGAGTAGAAGGTGATAATGACAAGAAGAACCCCAGAGAGGAGGTATGGCAGCTCCACTTAGAGACTGGTGTCCAGAAGTAGATGGGATTGTTCATGAAGCCATTCTCCAAAGGCTGGGATTTCTAGGGGGAGGAGCATGGGAACTTTAGTTTCCCCTTGCATGTAGAGCCAGAAAGATCCCATTGGTTGGGCTTCCTCTGGAGACAGGGTAGAATTACTACTTCCATTTGACTCTCCTAATCTTTCCACCCTTTCCTCTCTTCAGGGAATGGTTCCATTCATATTTGTTGGCACCCGAGAGAATATCAGCAATGCTCAGGCTCTGCTGGAATATCACCTCTCCTATCTGCAGGTACCCAAGCTAGAAACCTGAGAGAGGAAAGATCTGGGTCTTGTAAGGGGACTGAGACTGTTGGTGGATAAAGTTAGGAGCTATGGTGCCCAGTTTGTCTCTGAGTAGAATAGAAACCACTGGGTAGGAATATGGGGCTGTGGGGTTGGATCCCAGAATTTTCTTGGTTTAACCATTGTCTCCATTCTCATATTCCTGAGAGTTTAGAAATGTAGGGATGGTTGGGGCAGAGAAGCATGACAGGAGACTGTTCATTGATCTTTTACTTATTACTCCTTCCATATCTTCCTCCATCTTTTACCCAAACAGGAGGTGGAACAACTTCGCTTGGAGAGGCTGCAAATTGATGAACAGCTTCGACAGATTGGGCTGGGCTTTCGCCCTCCTGGGAGTGGGCGGGGTAGTGGTGGCAGTGACAAGGCTGGATATACCACTGATGAGAGCTCCTCCTCCTCCCTGCATACCACGAGAACCTATGGGGGCAGCTACGGGGGCCGGGGCCGAGGCCGGAGGACAGGTGGTCCTGCCTATGGTGAGACAGCTATGGGAAAGGGAGATGAACAGTTGGACGGGGGTATTGTGAGGATAGGCAATAGTGTGCATGGAAGCTTGAGGAAAGGGTGATAGAGATGATGATTGGCTGGGGACTTGTGAGTAAGAGAGAAGTCTTCCAGTTTGGGGGCAGTGATGGGTCCTAGAGTGGGGGTGCTGGCCTGATGGAACTCCATGGTGTTCTTCAGGCCCCAGCTCAGACCCATCTACGGCTTCTGAGACTGAGTCTGAGAAGAGGGAAGAGCCTATTCGTGCTGGGCCAGGAGACCGGGATCCCCCAACTCGGGAAGAAAGTCGGCGGCGGCCAATTGGGGGCCGGGGTAGGGGACCCCCACCTGCCCCCAGGCCTACCTCGAGATACACCTCTTCATCTATTAGCTCAGGTACCAGTACCAGAGAACTGGGTTCACAGTTGTAGGCCAAATGAAAAGTTGGTGGAGACCTGACTTCCAGTTCCTATTTTCACCAGTGCTGAAGGATCCAGACAGCAATCCCTACAGCCTGCTGGACACATCTGAACCAGAGCCTCCAATTGATTCTGAGCCTGGGGAACCCCCCCCAGCAAGTGCCAGGCGCCGCCGCTCCCGCCGCCGCCGAACTGATGAAGACAGGACTATCATGGATGGAGGCCTTGAATCTGATGGGCCTAGCATGACAGAGAATGGCCTAGGTAAGGCCGTTAAAAAACTAGAGCTGGGAAAGAACTAAGGAGTGGGAGATTAGATGTATGACTCTAATTTTTCCTTGCCCCACAGAAGATGAGTCAAGACCTCAGCGTCGTAATAGGAGCCGCCGTCGCCGTAACCGTGGTAACCGTACTGATGGCTCTGTCAGTGGAGACCGCCAGCCAGGTCAGCCAACACTGGGTTCCAGCATCCTTCCCCAGAGCTGAGAGAATGGGATCCCTGCCTCTCTATGAAAACCAGGGGTCGGGACTCATTGAGCATGTAGGGGCTGGATTCCTGGCTCCTTCTGAAACTCTTGGTTCTCTGCCTTCCCCAGTGACTGTGGCTGACTATATCTCCCGAGCAGAGTCTCAGAGCCGCCAGCGGCCACCCCTGGAACGCACTAAACCCTCAGAGGACTCTCTTTCAGGACAGAAGGTAGGCAGGAAAGATACAATTTACTTCTCCCCACATTTTTGTTATTTTGGAGCAGGGAGCACAAGACTATTCCCAAAGAAATCTCTTGGTGAATTGTAGAGAAGGCTATGTCTGATAGCGTTTAGAATACATTTAGAATAGTGGAGAGCTTAAATAGAATAGAGAGAGATAATGTATGGTTCATATTTTTTATATCCCAGTGAGAGTGACTAGAGAGCCAGATGAGGGATCAATCCCTGGATCAACACTTGAATGTAGGGAATGTCATTACATGAATTTCTACTGACCACTTCTTTCCTTCCTTTCCATTTTCTTTCCCACTTTCCCCTCAGGGTGACTCTGTCAGCAAGCTTCCTAAGGGCCCCTCAGAGAATGGGGAGCTCTCCGCCCCGCTAGAGTTGGGTAGTTTGGTGAACGGGGTTTCATAAAACCTCCAGCTCGCATCCCTCTCTTCTCCATCTCGCTTGCTGCCCAACACCATGGCCCTCACAGGCCTGACTGACCTGCGCTGGAGCTGCTCTTATCTAGGGGGGAGGGGGGTGGCACAGAAGCTTGGGTCCCCCCCCCAGTCTCCAGGAGCTAGTGGAGGGGTGTGTAACAGGGTCATACCCACCTCCCTCTTGTCCACCCTACCCCCAGGGTGAGGGGAGCCTCTCCTTCCCCATCAGACTGGATGTGCCTTTATCCTCTAATGCCCCAATCTCTCTCTGAACACCCCCATTCTCCACCTGTTGGTGAGGGGTGCTCCTTGACCCACCCAGATTTGACAGTTCAGGGGGCTCCCCTGCTATCCCTCCTCCCATCCTGTACCCCCAATTTCTGGGGCCTCATCACTGTGGAAGACGGGGATAGTAAGGGTATAAGTGGGTGGGAGGCATGGGGAAGGTTTTGGAGTAGAACCAGGGGTATGTATGAAGGGGGGTGACTAGGTCCCCCAGGGAAAGGGGGACCAACCTTATCTGGTGGATGAGAAGGCGTATTTATTTTTCACTGTACAGTATTTAAAAAGAGAATTAAAAAAATCCAAATGGCTGTCTGGTTCCTGTGTCTTACTTGTGCACAGTTTGGTGTTTTCCTAAGATCGACTTGTCCTTGTTTTCTGTCTCTTCGCACTCAGCTCCTCTAGTGTCCCAGGGATGATCTACTTTGGGAATTCTGAACAATCTTAAGTTCCCCAGGCCCAGGTACCTTCCTGGTCCAGGACCAGTGTCTTGTTGCTTCCCCCACCCCCTACTCCCCTGCCAGGTTTGCTGGTAGAGGGAGCTGGGCCACTCCTATACCCTGACTCACAGCTGGCTAGGGTAGGGCTGCTCCAAGCTGGAGTTGTCCCTGCTAAGAACTGAGAACCAAGGCCAGCTGCTTAATCAGGCCTGGGGCCTGGGGCTTGGGCTGGGCCCTGGGCAGAGTGGGGAGCAGTGTTGCCTCTTGAAAGCCTCTGGGACCTAGATGTCCAGCCATGATTCCTACTGCTTCTTTGCTCTGGATCCAGGCTTTTTCTTCAGCATCCATGTCACTGATCTCTCAGCCCTAGGTGAACTGTCCTGGGGTTCCTGGCTCCCAGCCTCTGGACTCTGACTCTGAAATTTGTAGATAAAATGGTGGAGTGGGGAAACCTTTGTTTGGGGGGAATTGGGAGGGTTTAAATTTTCTCAGAGTGGTGTTGAATCACCACCCAAGCACCTGCTGGGGTGACTCATACAACAAAAATGGCTTGCCTCCCTCAACCACCCCTTTCTTGTCCCAGGGGCAGGTTGGGTTTTGAGGGGCACTGGGCACAAGAAAAGGGTTTAGGATGGGTGTGGGGTATTCCCAAATTCTTCCTAACACACTATTCTAACCTTGAGGTGTTTTGATCCCGGTGCTTGAACCCATTGTGCAAAAAATTGACTTTAAATTGTCAAAGCTTAAGAAGGGAGGGGACGATGTGCAGAGCTGCTAGGGTTGGAAGGCCTGACTTCTGGGTCTAGGGTGGGGATGGGGGCGTGGTGCCCTGAGGGGTTTTGGGGGCTGGGAACAGAATACCTGGGTCTGCCTAAGGAGGGGATGTTGGCGCTCTTAAGGAGGCGTGGTCTGCTGGGAGTGTGTGGGGAGGAGTCAGTCCTTAAAAGCTGTTCCTGGCTCACTCACCAGCCACCGAAGCTGAGGGCAAGTGAGTGGTGTGGTGTGTGGGCTGTGCTGCCCCATAGCCAAAATACTCTAGAGACTTGAGTGGAAAGTTTACGGCCTCCACCGAAGCCACAGGTAGGAGAAGCGGGACTGGGTGTGGCATTGTACTACAACAAGGAAAGAAGAGAGCAACCTGCCGTGTACTGGTTACCGGACAGATTTTGCACTCTAATCTCAAGTGTGCAAACTGGTAGGGAGCAGGGATTCCAGAATAAGGACTCTGAACTTAGGGACAATATATACTTTTTAAGGACACGAGTTTCTGTGAAACAACTCCAGACCAGGAAGACACTTCCACTTTCAGGGTACTGGGTTTGCGGAGCAACTTTTCGCTTTGGAGGAGAGGGCGTGTGGGTGCCCTGTTAAGGCTTCCCTCCATGGAGCTACCCAGCCCCTCACAAAACCAGGCCTGGAGCCTGGAACCTCCAGCTCCCACAGCCCCTGCCTCCTCGTCCTCCAGCTCCCAGAAGCAGAACGCTGGGAGCCCCGAGGCTTCCGGGGGGCTTCCCTTGGAGAGGGTGAAACGACCCATGAACGCGTTCATGGTGTGGAGCTCTGCTCAGCGCCGCCAGATGGCGCAGCAAAACCCTAAGATGCACAACTCGGAGATCTCCAAGCGCCTGGGAGCGCAGTGGAAGCTGCTGGGCGAGGATGAGAAGCGGCCCTTCGTGGAGGAGGCCAAGCGGCTGCGAGCCCGGCACCTGCGCGACTACCCCGACTACAAGTACCGGCCACGGCGTAAGACCAAGAATGCGAGCGCTGGGCTGCCCCACTTTGACCAGGGAAGCAGCGGTGTGCCTGGCAACAGGCCAGTCTGGGGGCCTGGGTACACAACCACCCACGGGAACAGAGGCTTTGGGTACCAGCCCCCTAACTACTCAACATCCTACCTTCCTGGAGGTTACAGGTGAGTGGCTGGGGATCTGGGTGAGTACGGAAACACTCCAGGAGTCTGGGTGGGGAAGATACCAGAGGGACTGGCTGTTGGGGGGCTCTGAAGCCACCAAAGCCGAGGCCACTCCCTGGGGGTTTGGGGGCCTATCCTTAAGGTTTGGGGAGCACACCCCCCTGCGCTAACATCTTTGGGATGGCTCTAGTGGCCGGGGCTTTTCCTAGGGGGCTTTCCTGTCTCAGCCCAGCAGTGGTTACCCTGCAGGGGCAGACAACAGCCCCGTGGGTGTTGACCATGTTCCAGTTACCTGGATTTCCTGTTTCCCCCACTTCTGGCCCTGGTATGACCCAGCTTCCTCTCTCAGCCCCCAGGGCAAGGAGGCTAAGCCCAACTCTGCCCCTTTCTGGCCGGCAGCCCCAAAAGAGGAATACAGGCACACAGCACGCAAGTTCCCTGGTGAGCCTGTCCCAACAAGGCTGCCCTGCTCTCTAAGCCAGCCATGAGTCTGGCTCTGTACTTGCAGTACCAGGTGGAGCCCAAATATCCAGGGAATGGTAGGTTCTACTTGTCTGCCCAGAACTGGTCAACCTTGCCATCACATGCACTTGGGGACCCTGCCTGGCACCTCCAACCTAGGGAAGTGCCCTCTAACCCCAGTGTTTCTCTTTGCAGCTCTTCCCACTGTAAACCAGAGGCCTCAGCGTGTTCCCTCCATCAGAGTAACCCTAGGCTCCAGGGGGAGTTGCTCCCCTCCTATAACCCCTACCTATCCTCAGGCCCGCCCACTCCTTACAACCCTCCCCTCTCAGGGCCTCCCATGCCCCTAGCCCACCTCTAACAATCTAGACCTCCCAAGAAAGAATCCAACCACCTTTTTCACTCAGAACCACCCCCTACTCCCAAACTGCAAACCCTTCTTTTGCACTGTTGGACCACAGTTCAAAGGAAGCCTGTAGTCCTCCCCCCGCAACAAAAGCCAGGAGGAACAACACAATATATTTTTATGTATTTTTTTGTAGGATGAACAAGGTTTTGTACAATTAAGCCATGTCTCTGGGTCTTTATTGCCCCGTCTCTGTTCCCCCCTCACCGCAGCAGGAACCAGCACTGTCTCCACTCCCTTCCGCCTGGACCTGCCAGAGCAGGAACTTCCTCACCCCAGCCTGGGGCCCTGTCTGAGTCATTCCCCATCCCCCTTCCTCTGCCCCCCATCCAGCTCTGGGGTCCAGGAGACAGTGCCAGCCAGGCTGAGGGAAAGGAGGCAGACTTAAGCTCCTAGTCCCTTCCATTGTCCAGCCTCTGTCCTTTTATGCAAAAGAGGAAGTGAGGAGATGGGAGGGCAGGGCAAGGCTTTTGCCCAGAATAGGTAAGTAGCTGGAAATCGCTAAAGGGAGAATCTCAGCCAAATGAGTAAATAGTGCATACACAGGACAGCACACGATATCCAATGTCAGCCTGAAAATCTCTATCTTACTCCTTTCTAAAGATCTGACCTACCAACAATGCCTTTCCACTAAACACAAACCCAAGGTCAAGAAGCTGCAGCTGCTCAGGAGAAGAGAATAAGTCACACCAGCAGACTGGCTCAGAAGGACCCTGAGGTTAGGTGGATGAATAAAAACATGGAATGGACTCCAGTAGCCTGCTCAACCGTACTACTCCTTTTTCTTGTGGGGAGCCTTTGCATTCCAGTAGAAGAGAAGCTGGGCAGCAATGAGGCCGTTACAGAGGGAAGAGACCACAAAGGTTCCAGCCATGAGGGGATCTCCAGTTTCCTAGGGGTAAGAAACAGAGCTAGGGTCACTTTTAAGTAAAACCCAAAAAAGGTTCCAGAGACCAGGCAGCTTTGTCTTCTGGTAGGAGAGGTAATATGAGGTTTTAGTGACCCCTACAGGGCAGAAGGTGAACTCACCTGAATGGAGGTGAAGATTCGGGCCAATGAGCCCCCAAAGAGCAAAAACACTGTGATGGCTGAGAGCTGGCCTGTGTGCCCATTGCGGTAGTTGGTGACTGCCTGGAGCAGCTAAAACACGAGTTAAGACCCTTAGTTTAACACTCCCACACAGCTCCCACCATGCCCCTCACCCAGTCCCCACTCCCAACATTTTTTTTCTTGCTCCCAGTACCCACCTTCCCCGCCACCACAGAAGGCACATTGGAGGCCTGGAGCAGGGTAATTACGGCCATGGGGGTCAGTGGTGAAAGCAGCACCAGCAGGACCAGGGCATAACCGGCTAGGAAAGCCACACCTTGGGATCATAAAGACAGAGTCCTCATCAATCTCTGGAGTCCTCTGGCTTCCCTAGGCCCAAGTTCCCAGCCAGCAGGGCTCTCAAGAACCGCAGACCCCCTCTTGGGTAAATCCCCAGCACCTCTCACAGTTTGTCCTCTGTAGTGTAGAACCAGGAAGCAGATGGTGACTGTCTGGAGCATCAGGAATAGGGCTTCACCCCAAGAGCTGCAGAGTTAAGAGTTGGGAGGAAGAAAGGCAGGCCTGGAAAGAGGCAGGAAAAGCCTCCATAGCTCATCCATTTGGGGACACAATTCTCTGATTACTCCCTGTCCTCCACAGTCCTAGGAGTTCCTACCTCCTGCCCCCCCAGCACCCGCACCGCCCCCCCGCAATTCTCTGATTGACTCATTCTAGACCCTGGGCATTTGTGGGATGCTCGCCTCCTGTCATCACCTCCACAGGTAATGAGTACATTTCCAAAAGGGCTTACACTTTTCCTGCTCTTTTTACCTCTCTCACCCTAACCCCACTAGAGCTGCGGATATTTACTCTTGGGGATAGAAGGCAAACCCCTCACCTGAAGGGGAATTTGTTGACGATGCTGTAGACCATGGTCCCAGTCAATGCCACCAGTTCCAGCATTACTGACTGAAGGCTCAACCCTTCAGCACTTTTGGCTCCAAGGATTTTAAGCACCTGGGGCAGTTTTACTGGTAAAAGGACAAGAAGGGCATGGTTGAGGAGCTGGTATCCCTTGGGAGCACAACACAACAGCTATTGGGAAGCATGTTAACCCCACTTTAGGTTAAGGGACCCATCCAGTTTATGGCATTTTAGCACTCCACCCCCCACCCCAACATCAGAAAAGGAAGATTAAAAAACATACCCAGAAGTGACCCAGCTACAATTCCCAGCCCCAGGCCTTTGCTGAGGAGAATCTTCAGGCAGGGGACTGAGAAGAGAAAAAGGGATAAGCAGAGAGACCTCTGGAACACAGGCTAGGGTTTTCAGGAGATCCTACAGGCCTACAGGCTTAAAGCACTCTGTGGGCTGCCGCTGCTCCTTAAGACTTTGACATACCCACACAAGGAAGCCTTGGATTGTCTGGAGACAGATGAAAAAAGCCTGATCCTTGCTGCTCCAGATCATTACATTCTAATGAGGTGACTTTCCATAATCACCTTTTACCATTCCTTCCCTCCAACCCAATTTTCCACTCCTCGAAGATTACCCCTAAACTCCTTGGTCTTTCTTCCAAGGCTCTTTATGGCTTCCCTGTATAAAGCTAACAATGACCAACAGTACTCTGATCCATTTATTCCCCTCCACTGAGCAACGAGGCGATCCACTTTACATGTCTTTTTTTTTTTTTTCCAAGGGCAGGTCTCCTTTTTACCATTCATTCCTGAACCCGTTGTCTATGGCCCGACCCTTCCAGGACTGCTATGCTCTGGCCTCCCACATTTTCTCTAGCCTTGAAGTCTTCCCCCTTGCTTGGCCCACTGGGAGTCAGGTTTTAACGGGTCATGAATGCGGCTAAGACAAAGTGTTCCATGAACTGAGGGGTCATGGAACACAGTGGGGTCATGGAACACAGTGGGATCATGGAACAGTGGGGCCGATCGGGAAAGCTTCCAAAAGGGTCTGATGTCTGAGATGGGCCTTGCTGTGGAGTAGCTTTGTAGAGTGGAAGGAAGCCAAATTATTCGAAAATTAGACCGTGAACAAATGTGGAAGCTAAAAGGAAAGCCACCAGCATGGCAGGAGCCTTTGGGGGTGCCGCTGAAGCCCTGGACTCGTAGGACGCTTGTAATCAAGTTTGACCTTGCTCCTGAAGGTATAGCAATCAATTAAAGGTTGTAACTATTTAATCACATTTTAACTTTGTTTTATAAAATTTCAGTCTTTTGGCCTTTCGTTGCCGCTAAAGCATAAACTTCACAGAGAATTACTTTCACCCGGCTACTCCCCCTAGCCCAAAAATGGCGTTCTCCTTCTACGGATCCCGAGACACTTCCGCCCCTCTAATAGGTAATTTCCGCTCAGCACAGGGTGCAGTAGTCTCCGCAGTCACTCAGTCCGAAGCCACGCCCCACTTGTGGTTCGAGGGCGGTTCAGCAGCACTTTGACTGGATGCCAAATAAAACTCACCATGAAGCAAATCCCAGTGGACGAAAAATTGGTCGTAGCATTTTTCAGGTAAAAGAATCGGCACCAGCACCCGTTTCAGCGGCCCGTCAGCTTCGGACGCCATATTGCAAAGGTAGCTTCCGCCAGTTTCTTCAGACCGTCGTTGACTGACGGTGCGCATGCGTGCTGTAGGAACTCCGCCTCTAGTCTTCCCGCGGCAAAGCTGGACCGGCCCCTATTCTTAACGCCACTGCACCTTCAGTACCGTAAAATAAGTCTCGTCCAGGGACCAAGTGTTGGAGCCACCCTTCCTGCTGTTTGAATTTTAAAGCTTGCCAAAGCTCTACGCCCACGCACTTCCTTGTTTTGCGCCTTTGTTTACGCTTCCAGTGTGGAAGCAAGATTCATCTTCCTGCTTTTCTCCGCTTCTTTTGCTCGGCGCCATCTTGTCCTCTCCCTTCTGACTTGACATTGTTCAAAGTTGAGAGAAAGAGCGTGAGTCTCCAAAATGGCGTTGGATGGGGGCGCTGTAGCTAACTCTTGTTATTTCGGTGTGTCCAAGAAGGAAAGGCTTTGGCGGGAGCAGAACAGTCTGCACCCGGTCGCCGCCCATGGGCGCGGGGTTGCGGTTAAGGCCCACGTTTTCCCTGTGGGTCACCCAAGTTGTGGTGAATGCGTGCGCTAGTAACTGCTGAACCGGGACAGTGAAGCAGAAGAGGACAATGTGGCGGAGGCAAGACCAGTTTTGGGGGAAAGCAGTCCTCAAGTTCAGTGCCGAGCCCAGTCCTGGGAGGCTCCATGGACCACAGGCCCCTGGATTCCAGCCCGAGGGCCTGAGGACTCTACCTCTAGGCTAAGGCCCACTCCTCTGCCTTCTGTGACTACGTGCTGAGCAAGGGTTTAAGCAAGGCTAAGTGAGCCCAGCAGCTCCCCTTGAGAAAGGACACCTTGAACCTCCAAACGAGAATGATGCCCTCTGCCGCCCAGAGCTGGAACCCAACTCTTGGCCATCCTGGTGGAGGTGGGACTGGCCCACCATGCTGTCTTGCAGACCTTTGATGACTCTTATGTCACAGTCTGCAAGGTCGTAGGGGGATGTCTGTGAGGCTGAGGTGGGGCTTCCTTTAATGGGATGGGTCTCTAGGTTCCAGTGGCTGCTTTTTATAGCTGTAAAGGGCTCCTACAATTGGAAGGACCCATTTTGACTCCCAGCAGTTACACCATGGCCTATTGTGAAGGGTGTGACTGGCATTCCGTGGTGGTGCAGGCTGTGGCTGTCTGACAGGCCCTTTTGTAGAATCTGGACATATAGGCTGCCCTGGGGGTGCCACCCACCACCACTAAGTACACCACCATTGGGGACATCAAGGTTGGCTCCCTGGGTGGCACAGGCTGGAGGTATGTTCCCTAGGAGCTCAGAGGGTAATTGTATGTGGAGGTTGTAGTACCCACTGTTCCTGTTGTTGATGAAACCCTTCGCAGGCGAGATAGCATCCCAGGTGCAGCAAGGGTTGAATCAGGCTGTTCAGCCAGTCCTAGACATGGTGGGGAGGGCAGGCATTCTTGTTGCTAAGTAGCTACTAGCACAGACTTTAGAAACAAAAAGACACATGTGACTTGCCATCTACACTCATTGCTATTGATGCCTGCCTCACTTGTAGTTCTGTGTAAGGGTCAGGAAGAAGGTTGCCGGGATGGATTGGAAGGGAGGGGAAACTGGAACAGCCAGGGGCCCCAGATGAAGAAGGGAGGCAAAGCGGATTCAACACCCCTGTGCCAGGCTTTGGGGGATGAGCTCATGAGGGTATTTGGTCACACACTGATATTTTATCCTTCCTCACCAGCTCCTTGAGACTCAGCCATTTAAGGCACAGAAAGCATTGTGACAAGAAACTTAAAAGTTTTTACTCCTGGCATAAGGGACAAGGAAAACCAAAGATAAAGATTGAGTACATTTTATTATTCTACTACTAGGAATGGGAGAGGGAGAATTTCACATTTAATAAACATCTCGCTTCAGTTCTCCCAATTGCGTTCTATTTTTATTCTTCAAGTCAGAGAGGGAAGAAGAAAACTTTGTCACTGAGTCAGTTGAGTGGTAAGAAATGACAGCATCTCCTGGTGCCCTGGGTGTTGGGACAAATGCTCAGAGGGGCTGGTAGGTGGATGGGCGTCTCCGGAAGATGCAGAAGGTAACAAGCACCAGGGCAAGCAGGCCGAGGGCGATCAGGCCGATGATAAGAGGCAGCAAGATGGATCGGTCACTAGGACACGAAAAACCTGGCAGAAAAACGGCAAGTAGGCATCACAATGGCGGTGGCTGGGATAAAGGTGGAAGGAAGAGATGTGGGGGATGTTAGGAAGTAGGAGGTTGGTGAGGAGCTCACCTAGATGACAGAGCAGTAAATGAAAGGGGAGAATGGACAGTCTTGTAGAAGAGGGGAGGACAGTTGCCCTATAGCTGTGACAAGTCTAAGAAGAAATTTTGGGGTGTAAGAAGAGAGACTATAGGCCTGCAGTAGGGGATTCAGTGTACTGAGAGAGTTCTAGTAAGGAAGGAGTAGGTCTTACTTGGCCCAAAGTCCCCTGTTGAGGGTAGATGAGCAGCTTGTAGCTTCAGGAAGAGCAGGTCGAGGTGGAAAACTGGTGAAAGAATGATGCTTGCGTTTCTGCAACTGAAGCTCTGGCCCAGTGGGGCTTGGAGTTCTTGAAGGGATGAATTCTGAACTGAGAACGTCCACTCTAAAACAGTGAGAAAGGGTCAGCTCTATATCCACATTTCCACCCACCCCACCCCCAGTTTAGGTCCTTTTAGGAGTCCAGACACCTAGTGCAAGTTCTGAGAAAGGGGAGGTTACTCACTCGTTGCCTGCGGGAAGGATACATTATACTCCACAGCTGTGTAATTCAGGTAAACCATGCTCTGCTGTGGCTCCTGCAGAGGTGACCAGAAAGGCTCAGGGCAGCAGGGGCGAGTGGTATCCATGTCTACAGAGTAAGGACTATGGCAAGGGATTGACAGGGATAGGGTACTTGGATGGTGAAAGTGAGGGGTAAGGTACCTGCTTGAATCCAAAGCTGAGCTGTCCATAGGGGAATGAGAGAAGCAAGTGGGGATGGGCACCCTCACAGCCACCCTGGGCCTTGGTTTTGTTAGGGTTCAGTACAGAGATGCCCCAAGCCTGTGGAAGTTAAGGATGAGAGGGTCACAAGGCTACACAGCTGTGCCATCTAAGTTCTCTGGTCCCTTTCATCCACTCTATTTGTCCCCCTCTCTGCTCTTTCTTTCTTTCTGAACCATAGCAAATGGTCTCATCCCTTTCCCTCATGTTCTCCATTTTTTTAGCTTTACCTCTCTTCCATCTTGGGTTGGGTACAGAACTCGAATCTGAATCTGGGCTTGGAGACGGGCACAGGGCTGAGACCCATTAGTCCAAGTGTAGTCTCCTACCGCTGCCTTGGAGCCTGGGCTAGGACTTGGAGAAGGTGGAGGTGGTCCTGGGTGGGGGGGACTGCTGGAGGATCCTGGGCTAGTGGCAGTGCTGTTGCTTGTTGGATGAGCTGTGACATTCCCATGGCTTGTTGTACTGACAGGATTATGAGTAGCTGTTGTAGGTCCGTGGCTGGTGCCTGTGGCATTTCCATGGCTGGTCGTGCTGACAGGATTATGAGTAGCTGTTGTGGGTCCATGGCTGGTTCCTGTGGTGGTAGTTCTGTGGCTGGTTGTTCCAGGGCTTGTTGTGCTTTCTGTAGCTGTAGGTGTCACCGTGAAGGACGGCAGCAGAGTGGCAGATTTCTTACGAGGACAGTCATTTCCTGTTCCTTGGGCTTTCAGCAGAGGAGACTGGTTAGCAACACAGGGGCAGGCTCCTTCCTAAGGGCTCTCCCGCCTTATATCCCTTTTCCTTACCTGCCAGTAGCCCCAGCACGATCCCTGAGAAAAGCACAGCAAGCTTCATGACTTAACAGCTTCACTGTTTCCAGGTTGTGTCTGTACCAGCTGCTCGCCCAACCTACCCTACAACCTTCCTTCTTTTGAAAAAAGGGAGAAATGAAAGTCTGACTTCCTATAATTGAGATAGCCCTACCCCCTAAACTTGACTCAGGCACCTCAGCCCCAGCCACTAACCCCTTAGTCATGAAATTCTTTGTCACATGATTGGCTTTGGCTTCAAGTGGGAATTGTCAGGATCCAAGCTAGAATGCTTGGGGGCTTTCAGAATTGATGTTTGGGAACCCATGTACCTCAGCAAGCCCGAAGAGCTATGGTAAATGACTACACAACCAGTTGAAAACAGCCCCTGGTCTGCAGAGAAAATGCTTTCCAGAAAACGTTGAACAGGATGTTAAACCAAGTTATACTCCCATTTCCCCCCCGCATCACTTCCTCTTGACTGAGACACATGAGGCACTTGTGATGGTGATTGCCCAACCCCTCACAGAAGGGTCATACTTCAGCTAACGACTTGTAACAACACACAAAAGGGTAAATAAATGTTAGCTGGTGGAGGGAGAATATGTACCCCAGAGCAGGTGGGAAGGGGAAGAAATGAGAAGCCCAAACAGGCAGTTTCCAAGTAATTTTATTCAGAATTTTGTGTTTGTTTCCTGAATCAATAAATACTATACAAAACAATGTAAAAATGGCTACTATTTTTCTCCCCTGGTCCCCCCCCACTTGGGGACAAACCCCTGGGCCACCTAACTTGGGTTCTCCCTCCAGATTTGGTCCAGTAAATGAGGTTGAATGACATCACAGCCTCCGGGAATCATTCTCAGAGAAATTTGGCTGGAATGGGTAGAGCCTCGGGTTTGGAGGTTGACTAGGTTAGGGAAGTGGATTAGTGTTTTTGGGAGAAGAGACGGCGCCTGGGGCAAGAGCCTACCCCAAAGAAAAGGGTATCTAAAATGTTCACGGTTCCTTCTTTGCCTCAAAAAGTGACATTTATTCAAAGGAAAAAAAGAAAAAAAATGACAAGATGTCCATCCCTTGGCTCCCTTCCCGCCCCCCTCGGCTCCTCCTCAGCCCCACAAGGGCTGAACCCTGGCTGGGGTGAGGTGGCGGGCCAGCCCCTCTCAGATGAGGTCAGCAACATTGAGGGGCATCTCCTCAATGGAGGTGTTGTAGAAAGTTTCGATGTCTCGCAGAGTCCTCTTGTCTTCTTCTGTCACCATGTTAATAGCCACACCCTTACGGCCAAAACGTCCACCCCGACCGATTCTGGAAAACAAGGACACCTTAGGATACGTAGGGGTATGGTAAACTTAGAAAACTAGAAGCTTCAGACCAGGGAGGGTTGGGTGTGAGGGGGGAGGCTGGGCAGAATACACTCACCTGTGGATATAGTTTTCCCTGTTGGTAGGAAGGTCATAGTTGATGACTAAAGAAACCTGCTGCACATCAATGCCTCTGGCCTGTGGCAACAAAAGAGGACGACTTCAGCATCAGTGAGTGACAAGAGGGCACAATTTATCCAGACAAAACCTGGGACTTGAGTGTACATGTAGGCAGCCAAACGCAGGCAAAGGAAATTGCACATGACCTCCTGCCCTGGAAAGCTGAGGCATGCCAGACTTTATTCCAAGTTGCTACTTTCCTAAAGAGGGGCACTATTAGGCCCCCTGGAGAGGGAATCACCTTGGTTTTCCCTTCTTCCCTCCCAGCTTTCTCTAAATTCCTTTCTACTCACCAGCAAGTCAGTGGTAATCAATACTCTGCTAGAGCCAGAGCGGAACTCCCTCATGATTACATCTCGTTCCTTTTGGTCCATATCTCCATGCTAGAACAGAAACACAAAGTGTAACAAGCACCTGGGCTCTAAGTGGGCTACTACTGCACATGCACTGATGGTAAAAGAGGTGGGGAAAATTCACCATGGCAGAGACGGTGAAGTCTCGGGCGTGCATCTTCTCAGTGAGCCAATCAACCTTCCTTCGAGTGTTGATGAAGATGACTGCCTGGGTAATGGTGAGGGTTTCATACAAGTCACACAGTGTGTCCAGCTTCCACTCCTGGGAGTGAGTTGGGGGAGAAAAATCATTCAGGGGCTATACCCAACGACTTACTACCAGATCCGCCTCCTGCACTGAGCCCCACCTCTCGTTCCACATTGATGTAGAATTGGCGAATACCCTCCAGAGTCAACTCTTCCTTCTTGACAAGAATCCGAATAGGGTCCCTCATGAACTTCTTGGTCACCTCAAGCACATCAGAAGGCATTGTAGCTGACAGCAAAACCACCTAATGGGAAAAGAGCAGCCTCAAGGTAGGAGATATTCTCCATGCCACCTTCCCTAGACTACTAAAACAAAAACTAATAGATAAAAAAGGTTTGAGAGACTAGAATTCTTCATGGTTCTTCTGGCAACCCATACTACTCTACTACCCCAATCACAATCTATAAAGGATCAGGTATAGGGGCAAGTCTCTCTCACCTGGGTGTTGCTATTGAGCTTTTGGAATATGTCATAGATCTGGTCCTTGAATCCACGACTTAACATTTCATCAGCTTCATCCAGTACAAACATCTTGATGTATTTGGGAGCTACAGAAAAAAAAAAAAAAAAAAATACCAGTAAGGGTAATAATAATCAGGGGAATATGAAATATGCTTAACTTTTCCCAGTAAAGAACCAGGAAGAACAGATGGTCTGCTCTCAGAATTCCAGTTTTGATCCTTGCCCGGGTACCCCCTCACCAGGCCAGACAACAGCCCTGGGAAGTAGAACACTACCTGGGCTGAGAAAGGGAAGCCAGGCTCAGATGACACGCATGGGGTTCATCATAGAGCGACTCTTTCAGGGGAAAACAAGCCTTATTGGCAAGATTGTGGCCAAGTGGAGAGACTGAGAAAACACGAAGAGGGAAGTGACCCAGAATAAAAACACTAATACTCACACAGGTATCTGCGGTTAAGCATATCAAAAACACGGCCTGGAGTGCCCACAATGATATGAGGAGCTTCCATCTGCAGCTTCTGTACCTCAGCACGCACGTTGGTACCCCCAATGCAGGCATGACAGGAGGCACCCATATAATCTCCTAAAGCCATGACTACCTTCTGTATCTAAACCCAGAAAAAAGATAAGTGCTCTTATTATTAGCTACAACTGCACCATACCCCATTTTAAGTGCTTCTCATGTGTAAGGTTTTTCAAATGTGTATGACCAAAACTCTTTCCAGATTAAACAGGTGAAATGCATCTAAGACTCAAGATTGGAATTCACTTCGGCTTATGAAAAAATGTTCATACTAACTACCCTCTGAATTTTAAGACTGCTTACCATACTAGAACCAACTCCTGAAAGTCAATTGTGACCCTCCTATACTTATCTAGTAACTTCCAACCTTATGTATGAAATGGCATACACTGATATCCTATTACACAACCACAAAAATTAGGTGACATTACTCACTGTTAAAAAAAGCATGTTTTAAACAAGAGGCCTAGAATGGAGTTTTATTGAGTGCTGGCATGCAAACTGAAGGATTGCCAGTTCAACTCCCAGTCAGGGCACATACCTGGGTCGTAGGGCGGGTCCCCAGTTGGGGTTATGACCAATGTAACTCATGTTGTTTCTCTCTTTTGCCCCCCCTTCCCCCTCTCTAAAAATGAAGTTTAGAGAGGAAAAAAAATTTAAAAAATTAAAACTCCATTCCTTAAAGCCTCAGTTCACAATATTACCCATGAAACCGGTGTTTCTGATCTTTCCCCCTTCAAGACCCAGGAATTATAATTTTATGTGCCCCAGGCATGAACCAGCTCTGGCCACCAATGCAGGCAACAAGCTAGGATGAACTAAGGACTGAACAATTTCTTTGCCCCCGACTGATATAAGAGCAACACCACCGATCAGGTGTGTCCTTGCCCATTGCCAGGGGGTTTGTCCATAGAACAGCCACCACACCTGTTCAGCCAGCCAGGCTCCACCCAGGTTTCCCATTTGATTCAGGGCATGTGTGGAGAAATAGTGTCTACTGTTTGGGGGTAGGCACCTCAGTCCTCCCAAGGTGGTGGTGGTGGTGGTTGAGGAGCATACTCATATTTTTAATTTTTAATCAAGTTACATTCACCTGCTGTGCCAATTCTCTAGTGGGTGCCAGGACTAAGGCCTGGGTGGCCTTTAGGTCCAATTCAATTTGTTGCAAAATTGATATGGCAAAAGTGGCTGTTTTTCCTGTCCCAGATTGGGCTTGAGCGATCACATCATAACCTAAACAGAAAAGGAAAAAAGGTTGATATGGTAGAAGGTAAACACTTTGGGATCATGGGACATTCAAGGCCTTGCAAAATGAGATCAATAAACACCCAATAGAGCCTATGTGCCAATCATAAAGTGCCTCACAGACTTAACTCCACCACAACATAATACCATAAGTGGGAACAGACCTATTCATTAACTCATTTAGTATTACACAAACAAGATCAAAGATACAGCTATAAGGAACAAGTATGAACTGACTAATATACTACCTTATTAAAACTATATCCATAATCCATGTGTCCAAGGCATGAACCAGGCATGGGCACAGACCAAAAGCCAACCTGGGATAAACAAGGAGTTACTTTGTCCCTGGCTGATACGAGACAAGCACCACCAAGCCAGGTGCAACTCTACCCAGATCAGGGACAGTCCAGAACTTGCTTTGGGGCAAAGGGATCTTACCCTTGATACAAGGAAGAATGGCTCGCTGCTGGATGGCAGAGGGCTTCTCAAAACCATAGGCATAGATGCCACGGAGGAGGGACTCTGAAAGGTTCATGTCATCAAAGCTGTCAACAATCTCATTCCAGTTACTCTGTGGGATGCGAAGGAATTACAGTAATAGAAGTAGGGCTGTACATCGGAGCAAACAGCACCTTGTGCTTTTACCAAAGCTTTAGCAGCAACAACCTCTCCTCTCTCCAGGGAAGCCAGCTGGCTCTACATGGCCTGGGAAGTCTCACAGCACCAGTCCACTTGTAAACCATAAGGTTGCATGAGAACAAGACTTAACTTCACATACTTTCAGAGATATAAATATTTTAAACAAATGATTATACAGATTCAGAACTC